GCCGATGCAAATCATGAAATTCGCGAACGCGAAGATGTAGATGTTTCGCGCGCCGAACCACCGAATGAGCCGGGCTGCGAGGAAGAGCTGACACAAGGTGTTCAGGACACCCCATACGCCTCGCGTCACACCAATTTGGTACGGGCTAAATGCGAGCCCGCCGTTCTGGATGCTGGTCGAATACATTAACGGGAATAAAACTGCGATTGCGTCAGCGGGTGAGCAGAACAGGTGTCTCTAGGTACCTTGGAAGGCGGTTTGTGAGAAGCAGAAGAAGCCGTAATTGAGCAATGGTATCAAAAGGCGAGGGACAAGGAGTTCCCGTATGGATGGAAGCTCCTCATCGGCGAGGGGGTCAGGTTGACCGGGGTTATTTAATACCTCAGCTGCGTCAGCCCCCGCAATAGCACCGTACGTGGTTCTCTCCCCATCTAGTAGATTCAAAGTAGGATCGGTGGAAGCAGACATCCGCAATCTTTCCCTTTTCTGGCGCTCCAGGATCATAGGCGATGACTGGTGAGCGTAAGGAGACGTTCTGTAAGAGCAGTTCAACGTAAAATAATTACCTCTTTGAGGGCCACAAGTCCGAGGAAGAAAAATAACAACGAAAGCAGCCCGACGGCCGCACAAGGTAGAAGATAGGGATTCTCCCGCAGTATCTGTAGTTTGCCCCAGGTATTCGGCCAGTGTTCTTCAGGATCCGATAGGAGGCCTCCGATGATGGGTCTGCGAAACGATGTTAGCTACAAACTCTCGGTGAGATGGAACCTCACCCCAGAGTAGAGCCCGAGCTCCATGCTAGTGGGATCAGGGCCATGATTTGAGCAATGTTGGAAGAATCGGCTATCTTCAAGATGGGGTGAATGACGCAACGTCGTTTCCAGAGTGGTTCTTACCTCTGCCATAACGGTCTTGACTACCCCTGGTTCAGGGCGTGAGTAAATATCAGATATTTCCTAGGCGCAAAAGACCTGCCTATATTCCCATTGAACACACCCTGTGCACATCTATATATCACGAGCGACGAGAAACTCTTCGACCATCCAAAGCCAATTAATGCGAACGCAAGACCAAGCGGACCCAGGAGCAAGACAGGGCGTCTCCCGAGACGATCCGATGCACGTCCCCAGAAGTATACCGACACAAATTCGGCAACAAAAAACACAGATTCCTATAGTCCGTCGTCAGATTCAGGACGTCGGTTGAGCTCGGGAGCGACTGGCCAGCACTCCTGCCCAATATCCGGTCTTCCGTTCGTCCCCTCCAGTGATCCCTGTGTCGCGAACGAACTGCGGTACGAAAGGAAAGATCACAGTCCTTTGAGAGCCCATTGACTTAATAAAATTGACGAACAAGCGAGCAGACCTACGCTGATAAGGCTTCTGCAGCTTGGATTAGTACCGCGATCGTTAGCTGAAGCTTTGGAAGAGGTGTGCTAGGTTCAGGCATTGTCTTGGGTAACACCTTGGTGCTCACGGTGGGGGGCTGAAAAGAGCCTCGAAGAAGTGTGAGTCATCATGCCGCCTATCTGCTTTTTTTGAGTCATTAATTAGCGCAAGAAAAAAGCTTTATCGACCTTATGACTCAGACGTATCCCCAAGGGGTGAGCGAACTCTCGCGGAAATTGATCTGGCCACGCGAGCGGATGGACGCCTCACTTTTGGCTGAATGCCATCACCCTCGGCAAAGTAATGCGGGCCCCACCTATGCTCTTCTACGTTGCTACTACGTATTTGAATCTCGTCTTTTTTTAATTTCCGGGCGCTCGTTTGAATCTGATTATTTGTTCATCCTGGTTTAATGGATATTTATTTTGAACTCTATGGTATGAAATCAGGGTCTGTGAGAGAATCCAAGTCATCAACAGTGGACTCGGTGCTCGTCACGGCGTCAAATGTCCTGGTTCCGTTTGAGACCTGCCCGCCACTCGAGGGCGCCGAGGTGCTCTCGGCCCGAGCTTTGCTCAAAAATCGAAATGGTCTGATTCAGCTGTAATTTTTATTTTATTTGGATTCTGATTGGAGACTACGAAAAGCGAAGTGTCCTCCTATATGTATTATGTGCTCCAGCATTCTCCGGAGTTCTAGCGCTGCTGAACAGTAAATGAGGAAGGTGTGGGATGATCGGTGCGTGGGGTGTACATATGAGGTGGATTTCCGGGTGGATTTCCGAGCGCACCATGTATTGGTGGGCGCGGGAGGTGGACAGGGCGTAATGTAGATTCGGTACAGCACAGGCAAAGTGGCGTCGGGCAGTCGGGTTCGAGTACATGAGTCGAGCAATGCCGCTATAGCGGAGCAAGTGAATGAGGAATGCGACATCGAGATAGAGATTCGAGTCGGCGCGGAAAGCGCAGTCTCGTCTGGGCTCTTCTGGCACCCTAACTTCTCCCAAAGACTCAAACTCCGCATCCTCTTCTCGGGTGCCTCTGGCTCTTCATCACTGACGACGCGCCCTTCATCACCGAGCAGCCTCGACCCATGATGCACCGCCGTCCTGCCGCCCGCCGCACCTCCCAACCCCACGCTCGCACTCCCATCGCGCTCGCACCGCCCTCGCTATCCACCACGTTCCCGCTCCGACTCTAGGATGAAGACCGACTCCAAAATGCGCCAAGTCACTTCACTCACGAGCGCCACATACATTGTCCTCTGCCTCGTGCGACGACCCGCACTTCCGCTGCGGCTTCCCGACGAAAGCCTGCGAGCACCTGCTCGCATTGCCGCTCGCCGGCTCCCACTCGCCTCGTTCTGCGCAGGAACGCCGCATACAGCGCCGCGAAATACGGAGGCCGCAGGCCATAGCCCGGCCGCGAACTCGCAATAGCGAGGACGGCAGCGAGTGCGCTGTGCTGGTGAAGAACAGCGACGGCGGCGAACCCGCTACTGCCGCTGAACACGTTGCTGCTGCTGCTGAACGCGCTGGCCTTGTCGCGCTGCTCCCCACTCTACCAGTACTGCACCGCCATACACAGGTATCCCGAACGCATCTCAGTGGACACGCCGAGCCCGAGCCCCTCGCGACCTTCCCCGCTCAGCGCCGGGTTCAGGTCAGCACCAGGTTCCAGTTCCCCTGCTGTGCCGGCGTGCGGGTGTGCGGTGTCTTGCGGCGTCTGGGAGAATAACGAAGGGCTGTCAACTCGGGAACCCATGAGGAGGGTGAGGAAAGACGAGGGGAGGAGCGGGGAAGGCGGGCGGCAAGGGGAAACGGGGGTACCATCCCAAACCACCCAGGGTCTCGCAGCTCGCGCAGTGCCGCAGGGTTAGACCCGCGCGTCTCTGGGGCGGGTCTCCCCGACGGACAGCGAAAGGGCCCGGCCCTGATAGTGACGCGTAGCGGTAAGCACGAGACTAGACCGGGGCGCGAGCATCCATCCGCGCGTAAGACCCCCTAAACTCCACCCGGACGGGTAGGAGATAAGAGGGGAGTGCACGGGGCACGAGGCAGCGTCCAAGGGGAATGCACAGGCAGCTATCCCAAAACGGGAGTAGAAAGGCCAGCATCTCAACGTTAACGGGGGCTAGACGACCGTCTGTCATCCGACAGACGCAGCCCTCCGTCACGGCCGTAACGAATGCCAAAGAGGTGCGCCGGAAATGCATGCCAAAAGCAGGCGCGCGCTGCCCCGTCTCGTCTAGACTCTGCAGCACGTCTCGGTGACCACAAGCACCAGGGAGAGACGAACGGGGCGCATAACCACCTCGCCTAAAGCACTATCGCGGCGCCCAAGGAAGCCGCCGCCCGCCGACAGAGGACATTGAAACCGCCCTCCCCCAGATGCCCCATATGAAAGACGGCGGCGCAAGCACCACCACATCGATGCCACACATCGCACACCGACCGCCCAACAGACCCCACACGAGAGGAAGAACACAGGAGGGGAATGAAGCTCACCTCCCACCGCAAACTTCTGTATTCGTCCATACGCACACTCGCATACCCCCGATCCCCATCGCATACCCGTGCTGGTCCAGAAGCGCGTGATCATCGCGGAGGAAGGGCGGAGGGGGGTCGACTCCCGAGGCGGAGGGCGAGCTCGTAAGGAGGGAGGACCGGAGCCGGACCGCGGTTATCTCGCAGAGGTTATTGGACCGCGTCGATCTGCATTCGGTGGTGAAGGGGAAGGGGCGAAGGGGTGAGGCGAGGCGATCGATGGGTGGATATGTATTCTATACGAAGAATAAGTGAAAATGGATAAGAAGAGAGGGAGGCGCAGACGCACCGTTACACGCGCTGATCTTGTTTCACAGCTGCCTCTCCTCTTTGCTTCGGTCGGTATCGTCCTCCGCGTCCCACCGCTTCGACGTCTGCGGATTTCGGCAGCATTAACCAATTGGTGGCGGAGACATTCTTTGGCGATGCCCTTGACGTGTCATGGCCGCCGATCTTAAAAAGGGACGCCGCGGCGGGGGCCGGGGCGGATAGATGTGTTGGAGGCGGCGAAAGAGCTGCAGGTCGGCAGGTCGGTGCCCAGCATCATGTCCGGGTTGCTACGTTCATACTGAAGTCATTATCGTCGTGTGTTATCGCTGGAGCCACCGCCTCCTCCTAATACGGGCGCTGGAGAGCATGGCGAGGGCTTGACGCTAGCTTGACGTCCTCGTCGACGTTCGAGGAGGTTGAAGAACGAGGGCGGGGGCGGAGTGGCTGATGCCTGGGAAGGACGCGGGCGGCGGGGTCGAGTTGGACGACGGTGGCATCAAGATCGCTGTAGGGCGCGCCGAGAGGCTATCTGTGGTTTGGGACTTGCTGACTAATCAGTCGGGACTTGGGTGGTTCAATTTGGGCACGTCGATCTCCTCTCATCATGCGATTATTGTTGACCAGTACTGTTGAGCAGCCCGCTCGCGTTTCTGAACGTTTTTGCAAGTATCATCACGCCTGGAGCGCTTAGCGTGCTGTCCACGAGACGGGCTCTAAAATTATCCTCCTCGCTGCTGAGCTCAGCAACGTACTTGCCCTTGACGCCGATAAATACCTTCACCCGCCAATGCAGTCACGCCCGCGTAGATCAGTGGTAGATCGTCTCTGATGAATAATCTAAATGTTTTCGTCCACATTTTCAGAGGAAACGGAGGTTCGAATCCTCCTGCGGGCATATATGTTTGTTGCTTCTTATTTTTCTTCCGGTCCTCGGTCCTCATTCCCATGAGATTACCTTTTAAATTATTCAACGTCTCGTACGGTCCTTTATCCCTCGCGAGGCGCGAAAAAGCCTTCCTCGCTTAATGGAAGATCACCTTTAAGCGCTCTTTGAGTTTCAGGAAACAAGGAACGAGTCCTCGAAGGCAGTGGGGTTTACTGCTTTTTTTCTGTGTTCAATTGTGCCCATATCATCTACAGTTGAACAAGGCGAGGGAAGCCTTCGTAGATTAAGGGAAATCGCTCTGTGACTGTTAGGACCCTGAACATCAGTCTCAGAGAGTCGAGGGTTCGAGTCCCTCCTAGGACTTATGTGGACTATCTTCATTTTTCCCTGGAGATCCTGGGTTAAATTTTGTCCCGTATGATCTACAGTTGAACAAACCAAGGGAAGCCTTCGTGGATTAATGGAAATCACCCTGCGGCATTGAGGTAGATATAATGATCCAGTCTCAGGGAGACGGGGTTCGAATCCCCCCGAAGGCATATCATAGCGACGCTGTTTTTTTTTTTGCGCATATATCGACAGTTTACTGTAAACCATAGGGGAAGCCTTACATGAATCGACTTCGACTTGTCGATCAACAGAACGCACCCGTGGCACTTTGTTCTCAGTTCGAATCCCTCGATCGAGTTCCCAAATATCAGTTTCTCTTTTTTCCTCCTAATCAGGTCTAGGGCTCAATTTTTGCTTCTACCATCTACTCTCGCCGAACAAGACAGAGAAAGCTTTCGTAGATTAACGAAAATCACCCAGGATTCTTGGTCCAAGGCGTGTTCCAGTTTTCAGGGAGTTGAGGGTTCGAGTCCCTCTGAAGGCGTTCCCAATTTCAGTGCTCATTTTCTTGCCAATCAGGGCTGATTTTTGCTGCTCTCATCTAACGCCAAAGTGGACAGGGAACACCTCCGTTGATAAATGGAAGTCACCCATGGGACTTTGGTGGTGGAAAACACGCCGACGAGCTCTCAGGAGAACGAGGGTTCGAGTCCCCCCGAAGGCACTTCCAGTCCATTTCTTTTTTTCTTGACAATCAGGCTTAGGGTTCAATTTTACTCCTATCCTCTACAGCAGAACAGGACAGAGAAAACCTTTGTCGATTAATGGAAATCACCCTGGAACTTTTGGTGAAAACAAACTGACGAGTTCTCAGGGAGTCGAGGGTTCGAATCCCCCCGAAGGCATGCTATTGTGGTCTCGTCAATTTTTATCCCAAGCTGTCGACTTGGGGAATACGGTTGGCCCAGAAGCCTTTGAGGATTAATGAAAATCCCCCTGCAGTAACTTCAATGTACTCGATGCTCTTCCGAGTCCTCAATTATGGACATAAATCATGACCTTCTGGGCCCCGAATGGCCAACTCACAAATATCGCCTGTTGCTTCTCAAGAAAGCTTCATTTTTTGTTCATATGATCTGCAGCTAACCATAGATATGAAGCCTTGGTTGATTAGTGGAAATCACCCCGTGACTCTGTCGCATGAGGGACCCATATTTTCGGGGAGATGGGGGTTCGAGTCCTCCCGAAGGCATTGTCTAGATCGATTTTTCTTTTCATCCTAAAGTAACGGCTTTTGCTCGTATCATCTACAGTTAAACTGGACAGAGATAGCTTTTGTTGATTAATCGAAATCGCCTTGTGCAAGTAAACGATGGGCTCCAATGACTGATTGGTTGAATTTTTGCCTAACTGCTCAACTAGACGGAGAAAACTTTCGAGGATTACAAACAAAATCACCCCGGGACCTTTCCTTATTTTATCGACTACTATATCATAAAACTCGTCGAGTCTAAATACGGGAGACTGACCTTGATGGAGTGCGAGAGGGGGTTCGAGGTCCCTCGAAGGCATTGCCAGCTGTCCATCTCTTTTTTTTTTGCTTCCCCATATTTTGCTCATGTCATTCATCCACAGTTAAACTGGACAGAGAAACCCGTTTTTGATTTCGGAAGTGTCTTTCTGGACCGATTCGGCCGATACCGGTGTTTCACGTGCACCTCAAAGTTCAAACAATCTACCACGCGATGTTCGTCTTGTTCTGCAGAGTAACCGCGTTGTCGCCATATGGCTCTCGCACGTCGGACATACGATCTGTAATATTCCTATGCATAATGAGCTACAAGTAAGCTGAAATGATCAAGTTGAACCACACTCCGGGTATCTCGGCTTTGTTGGAATTCAATTCCAGATTCTTGCGGCTGCCATTCGCACGCCATTCTTCACAAGCTCATCCCCGGCGTTGGCTGTGTAATCAAAATCAGCTGTGGCTACTCGGTAGGCGGACCAAACATACGCTGCAACGGCCCTCACCGAAAATCTATGGGTCGTCCATTAACTCATAACGTACGAAATTAGATGATTTGAGCAAAGTACCACAGTGATGAATTTTTTCATGGCGGAAATTTGCGCAGGGTCGCTAGCCCAACTCTACCACCTATCAATCAGCTTCAGGCCAGCCGGCTCTGGGATGGACGCACTTCCAGAAAGGTTGGAGCACAGATCAGAAGAGTTGAATTGGTCGCAATTGCCACTTCAAAAACTCTGTCGGGAGTGGGAGCTACAGGCGGAGCGGTGGGAAAAAAGCCCGACATCGCCATCCCAGTGAATGCCTAGGCCTGCGGAAAGTCGTTGAGTGAAAGGGGATCAACGCCGAACAAGGAGGTACCGCATATGGTAACTGAACAAGTCCCAGCATATCTAATCGACCGTTAGAGCCATTCGACTCGAGTAGCTCGATAGCACCGAACGAAACATAGGCACAGCATGAACCTCGCCGATGTAATCGGTGTAAGAATATCACAACTGCGAAGCCGAAGTGGTGCTCACAGATAAGACTTCGCCACAGAGATCGACTGCTCCGTAATCTGCATCGATGGTGAGCGAGCAGCGTACTTATCTGAAGGACAGGGATACATGGTATAAGACCCGATTCTTTTGGAAACGCCGTGGATCCTGTCGGGCACATCCGTCAAAAAGGATACCTCCAATGGTAAAATACCTGAAGAATGCATTAAGACCGCTGGGTCGTCCAAATTGACTTTCTTCCTAGGAAGACTTTGAGATGCGATGGAGGGTTCAAAGAGTTCTTGGAACGTAGGAATCGGCATGATCTTCAGGTTTTCTTCGAGAGCCGAAATCCCGATTCGAGCTGCGCCGGCCAAATTCTGCATCGAAGGATCCGCGCTCACAAATACGCGGGTGCATGAACTGGATCGAAACAGATGAACAATGGCTGCCTCCGAATTTCGAGGTGATAGAGGGAATGGTAGATATCCGGCGAGCATTACTCCAATGACGATAGAGAGATAAGTGATTTGGTCTATGGTGCCAACCAGCGTAAGTATTATATCGTGTCTTAGAACACGTTATCCTACCGGCTAAGGCCAGGATGGCAACGACGGTAGGAGATGGTTCACGCTCAGCTGCCTCGACTCGCACCTGGCAGATGTGGGCTGCTTTGCGGAAAGCCTTGACCGCATGCGACCAAGTTATGGTTTTGGGAACTTTGTCTTCAGCATACACGAATAGAGGATGGTCGGGACTATGCTGGGCATGGTGGTCGAAAACGTCAGGAAGCAACAAGGAGCCATCCAGGGGAGGAGGCTTGAAAGTGGATGAAGAGAGTCCCTGAACGGTTACAGATTGCATTCTGGTTGCTGTATGGCCCTGCCCAGGAGATTAAAGAGAGGGAGGTCCGCGATCAAAGTTGCTCATGATTGGCTGAAGGCAGTGCTGCTGATCTGGCGGGAGAAGTCAAGTATCTATGATGGCTCGAGAAGGCTTTGGTTAGTCAATAAGACCTTTTTTGCTTGCCTCCGAGGACCGACGAATGTTTTGACGGAAATACACCCATCAAGTTTTATGAATCAAAGTCGCCAACAGTTTGGTAAACAGTAATTAACCGGCATTTCATGGTCTTCTCCCTGACGTGCCGCATCCATGCTTGTTGGTTATCCTTCCATGGAGATGCGCCCGGTCGTTGAACATTTCCGTGGCATGGGGTTGGTGTAAATTAAATTGGTGCTGTGCATTTTTGGTGGTATCAAGAGGTGAGCGGTCATCCCGATCTTAACATGACAACCCAAATCAGGAATTCCGAGATCACCGACAGACTTTCATGGGTCTAGATCCTGGCCTTTTCATTTCGGCTCAAAGACGTCCTCAAATCCTCTGGAGATTTCTCCTACTCCCGCATTTTCATACGTTATCTACCGCTCTATGTATATAAAATAATTTATTTTGCTCTGTGTGTAGTGCAATAGATTTTATAACACATTTCGGCGAACTTCGGCAAGACTTTCGGCGGGTGATGGCGATGTCATGGAACTAACATAATCTCGGTCGAAAACCCATAGCAGGCATGAATCAACTCCAGATGATCAAAATTGCCATATAGGCTGCTTATATACCCCCTCCCGCCCTTGACAGGTGATGGCGAGGTCTATGTCATGGACTTTAGGATCACTCACCTCTTGATCTGGACTTTACAATCGCTCACCTCTTGATCTATGTATGTATGATAAAGATCTGGTGTTTACCTCGGAACCAAGCATACACCCCTGGCCAACGCCCAACGTCTCTCATCCTCAACGCCCAACGTCTCTCATCCTCAACGCCCAATGTCTCTCATCCTTGACTCTACCCCCGGTGGCTGATCTGCGACATGGACTCACATTTTCCTTCGCCGGATTCAAATGAATCGGTTGGACAGTTGTTGCATCACTATTACATGCGGCGATGAAAGTTGGCTCTGTCACTCTGGACGTTCCGATCCATGACTTCATCAGGGATGGCCTGAACAACCCCAAGATATTCCCTCTTTCTACGTATACTCCGATACTGACAGATGTCCCCTGCTGATTATGTCCGGGCGCACATTACCGCAGCGAAGAAAAAGGACTGAATGTGCGGGACGAAGAGCTCTTCGGATCCATCCATGTTCAGCATTCCAAAGTTAACCACAAGAGATATTGAGGGGTCGTGTGGGGTGATGCAGTAGTGCGTTCAAAGCTGTAGAGTACCTTCCATCATACCACACAATGCCGGGAATCGATACTATTAATTTTCATGAAGTTGTTGCGTTTCGAGAGCGAAAGATATCAATTTTCTACAGTTTGCTTTGTAAGTAGAAAGATGAAGAGGACCGCGCGGGAGAAGAGGACTTGAGATTGGACTGACTCCAAGTAGGAAATCTGGGCCGGGAACTCCACGGTATTAAAGTGGACATTCGCAGTGATGCTACCACCGTGGCGTGGGATAGACAGTGCGTTACATACAGCGTAGGCTGAAAGATAAATGCCGAGAGCAACGCAACTACCCTATTGCCCTCGGAGCGCTTCTGGCAGGAGAAGCAACGCTTTGCTACACGATGATCAGGTTAACCGGATGAAGATGGTTTACAGCCCGAGCGGCGGTGAAAACACGTCTTTCTGATGAATTCTAGTTGATTGGAGAGCGTGGATAATTGCATCCAGGAAATTCCGGCCTC